GCATCCGCGTCGGCGGCCCGCCCGAGCCTCGCTGCCACGCCACGCCCCCGCTCACCGACCTCAAGCGCGTCAAGGCGTCCTCCATGAGGATTTGAACGCGTGGGACTGGCGCGCACTAGGTCGGGAATTGGGTCTCGGTGTTCAATGGGAAAAGCAGGACGGAGCAGGTTTTGTGTGTTTTATGTTGGTGGTGCATTTATTTTGTGTTTGTTGTCAGCAGTATTAATGTACGTTCCGTATGTGTTTCGTAAAAAATGTCGCGTCTGTTTTCACCTTTCCTCAGTGTGGCGGTTATGAATAGTAACCTTGGTACATCTCCGCGCCTGAGGCATGTCTGTTGTTAAGTGCATGGTTGTTGTGAACTGCTTGTTATATTCATTTACAAATTATTGGTGCACAATTTGCTAAAAATGTCTTAAGTTTTGAAAGAAGGAGCAGCTACGCAGTGTACAATTGACTAATTCTATTTGTCAGTTGTGCATGATTCTGTTTACGTACGGAGACTAGATATATTTCTCCCTTCGAATTGCTGTATACTAATACAAGATGGAATTGGAATGTATGTAATCTTACTGTAATCATTCTCGCTCTCGTTTATAAAGTGGCAGGCCCTTTTGTTTCATTGTTTTGTTTGTGCTAGAAGTTCTTCACTTAAATAGCTTCGAGATCGTAGAAGTGTGTTTGCTGTTAATTGTTGATCCGCGCTCCTACATGTCAGTAGAAAAATTGAATCAAAATTGATGTTATATGTTTCATTGATGTACGTCTTCTCTTCCCCCGGAACTTTACATTGTGCAATGCTACTGGAATAAACTGATGTAATGTGTAGGTATTTGGTGGTCTTGTGTATTAACTCGGAGCTTTTAATAAGAGAACTTTTGAAGTTCACATTTTCATTTAGTGGGAAAGTCGTAGAAATATTTTGTTTGGAGGCGTAGATAAGATTTTATTTGTGTATGAATATGTTGGGAATAGCAATGAATGGAAGCTTGTGTATAGACTGAAATCATTATTATTGGTTGGAGTTCAGAATATGTGGTGTTGCAACAATGCCAAGGCAACCACAAATAATCAATATCGATTTCAACACGTCTCAAAATAAATGTTATTAACGTCTAGAACATGCAGGGAGAATCAAAAAGGAAAATATGTTGATTATGCACGTATGTTGGAAAATCTTTTATAATGAAATTACACATGTGACATTTGCTCCGATTCCTAGAAAATTTATCGTGCTTTGGTATTTAGAAGGTACAAGTTCTGCAGCAGATTTCTTGGATCTGCTACACAACGGCGAAAGATTCTCACCAATATTTTTAGCAAATATCAGATGCGTCAACTTCGTTATATGAGATTTCCCGCGGTATGTTTGTTAACAGAAAGGGATCATCTTCGACCCCACTGCGTGCTTTAGAAATGTATAAGATTTATTTTGAGACGTCCTAAATACGGGGAAACGCATTGCTAAAATGACTAGTCATGTTACACCGTGCATCTATGTACGATTTACTCTAGCGAAGAATTGTTGTTTTCGGGGTACGTCTTCCCGGAGAAGTGCGTGTGATTTAGAATTTGTTTTGTATTTGGGAGATTTGTAAATATGTCTACTGCCCTCTGTACTGCGTGCAAAAGGCTGCATGTACGGCGAAGTAGGTTTCTGAGAAATTATTAGTTCCGTGATTCAAAAGAACGTGACAAACTCATACCTTCTTGATTCTTCAGTAAACTTTCGAGATGTTTTAATATGAGGGAGTTAATGATCTGTAGTAGAGTAACAAAGTTTTCATTATTGAATAACTATTTATCCTTAGTTAATATGTAGCTAACACTATTTCAATGTAAGTAAAAGTATGATACTTCCATGAATGTACTAGTCTATGTTTAAAATTTGAACAACCAAAGAAGAAAAAATAAATTCGGATATTTCAATGAAGATTGGTTTTTGCGAAACGAAATGAGCAGTATATTTCGTATCGCGGTCACTTCGATTTTAGAAAACCCTTCGTTAATAGAATGTTCAATATTATTAGCATCAATCATTGTAATAATTTGCCTTTGTTCTTCGAATTACTTTATACACACACAATAGATGAAGGAATATAATTTGCCTGGAAGTAAAAATTATCGTTTTGAGAGCGAGAATATCTTAAATTATATCGGGGACAAATACGTGCCTGCTCCGTCCCGTGGGTTGATTGCATTTCTTTTCAGAACTCCTCTTACCCCCAGGGACGTGCTGCGAAAGAAATGAAACTATTGATGTTCGATGTTTTATGTTATTTCTTCGTGTGTCTGGCACGCAAAAGTTCTCGACTGCTCGCACATGACGTGGAGAGGTTTGGACTTGGCAGACACACCGATACACATAAAAGCTCTGGTGGGCCTGAGATTAGGTGTATCAGGACTTACACTTGTTTTCGTGAGTCGCGGTCGGCGAGACTGACAGCCTCCTTAGGGGAAGGCATAAAAGCCGACGCGTAGAATCGTAGGATGGGAGGACGCGGCCAGGCTGCAAGGGGCTCCGCCTCGTATTCTTAATTTGGGAGGCGGCGCTGCAGAACTATCTGGCCGAAAGAATTTTAGCGCAGGATCGTTGTTATTTAATGCACTTAGTTCTGTATATTCTATTTCTATATTTTTAGTATTTTAATGCTTGGGGATAACTTTTATTGTGATAGAGTGAATGCATTGAGAGGGAACAGTCTCGATATCAGATCGGTTTAATTATGGTAGTCACGAATGAGTATTAAAATATAGTTTTTTAAAAGTATCGCGAGATACAAGCGATCGCTTGGTTGTGTTAAAGAAATGCGTAATATGAAGCGAAGCCGCTTGTGAAAGATATTGCCAGTTTTAGTATTACGACATATTCATAGGAATGACAAGTTGTGCTGAATTTGACCAACCGCGGATGGCGGTTATATTTCCTTGAAGTGCCTGAATTTAAACTTTTCGTTAAGTAGTTATCGTTGGTACTGTGTGAGGAGAGGGTTCCGTGGGTGGTAATTATAGAAGTAACTCCCTAAGAGAAGATTGAAGCGATACGCAATTAGTAATTGACTTCATTTTCCTTGTGTCGAGTGTGGCTTGCCTGAATATTCTGTAAAAGTGAAATGCTGGGGTTCAGAGTGCATTAGGGTTCACACGACTTAAGATACAGAGAAGAAACCTGTTTTCAACCGTGTGGATATGTAGCCTATTTCATGTTGCATGTTAAGGAACGTGAAATGATGGGTTGTTTGGCTCATTAATCGTATAATGTAGTTTTTAATATTTATAATTACGTGTGACGTGTGAACTCGACGAAACAGGTAATAGTTTGAGCAAAATAAAATGTTGTATAGATGGATTTGCTTTTAACTTGCGTACATTCCTATTGCCAAGCGCTTCCTCTCCCTGTTGTGATACGTAAGGGAATTGACACTTTGTTGAGTTTTTCGTATATCAGAATGGAATCATTTACATTTCTTCTGTTGCAAGGTCCTTAATTTTATGGTTTTTAGGTAGTACGACAGAAGAATCTACCTTAATACCCATGATGATAAAGTGCCATAAAGATTTGTGTCAGAGTTGGAGCCCAGTTACCTATGTGCCCAGGAAAACGAGACGTAAAACCAAATTCAGTCGAGGGTAAGGTCTTTCCTTAGGAAATATTCAGATCCCTCTTACGACAATTTTCTTTGTGCCAAATACTTAAATCGGGCGAAGATTTGCGTGCTAGCTAAGTTTTGTGCTGAGTAAAAACTATAGGGAAAAGTACTTAATAGTCACTTTGTGTTGTCACTTCGTGTACTGATGTGTTCAAGTATTTTTGTGTACACCATACTTTGTGGGCGATAACCTGTTGCACGTCATGTTATCAAATTATCAGAAACGTAGATTCCCTTGCTTTAGGTGTTGTTTGTTTAGCAATTGGGCGCGCCGGAGAACCTCTTTATGCTCGATCACAGAAAGTGGTCGAGAAATGAAAGTCGTAGTTTTCTAATACTCGCAGTGTGTTTATAAACTCTTTCAATGAAATTTATTTTAAGATTGCCTTATGCAAACAGCGGGATCATGCTGAGAAACCGTTAGAGTTTCCATGCTTTTTCTGTTGCCCCAAAGTACTGGGCCAGGATGCATCCGCGTTAGAATTCGATTTATTTAAAATCTATGCAGGAATTGATTAATAGATTTGGAGTCCGAAGTAAATTCTTTCCACCATTTCCGTAATTTTTTATGGACATAACGTGTTACATGGCGAAGAAACAGCGTTTTTAATATTTTTATAGTTAATCGTTTACAGTCTTCTTACTCTCTACAGTCTTTTACGAGCTGACAACTTTTCTTTTATAGCGTTTGGTCATTTGTCTGATGAGTTGACATTTAAAGCGCCATGTTGGTATTATGAAGTCGTTTACTCGACGGGGTATCCATGTTTGTGTCGGCGCACTAGGTAGTGGAAACAGGGCAATACTTCGTTTTTGTGCGCCCAGGGAAGAATTAAGAATTGAGAAAGAATAATCTCTTAGCACTGCACCCTCATTTTCATATGTCAGAGGATGGATGTAGCTAAATGCAAGTATTACTATTTATCTGTACATCCCCTTGAATGAATCACGCGTTTTTCTGCACGCCGTGATGCTACGCATTCTAATTTCCCGAAATTGCCTGTGTAAGACAATCTTTCGAAACAATATTGAACAAATTGAAAAATATATCGTATATTTTATTTTCTCGACTTTTAAATAAAGGTGAAATGAACGTGGTTCATTATTTTTTGTGTACCAGAGAACCGATTCGTTTCTTTTTACATTTCTATTTTTTCACATTTTTCCGGCTAAATGTAATAGGGCGAAGTGCCAGATTGTCGGTAGTGTCCCTTTCAATTCTTCCTTCACATGGAAAAATACCCTTTATTGGAATCTCGATGACTTGACTTTCTCGGATGACTGATATTTGTAATGTAATATCGATTGTGTATAGGAAAAACGAGGAAAAGAAGAGACCAATTCGCTTGACAGATATGTTATTTCTACTGCCCTTTATGATGCTAAAGCGGATGGGTGGACGTTCCGAGGGGATGGTTTGAACTCCACTCCATTGTTCGTTAAGTATTACTGGATATTTTACTGTAGTGTTATGTATAGTGTTGCTGGAAGCATCATTTTCAGTACAACTAAGACAAATCCCCACCGATAATGTATGTCCACGTGCATTTGTCTTCCTGGATATACCCAAAAAAATCAGATGTGAGAAACACTGTTTTTGTTGTGAAGTCAATTTGGTTTAATAGTTACGTGAAATTCGTGTTCATTGTCAACTCGTATTTGTTGTGGGCATATTACCTGTGTTTACTGTCTTATTGTATTAACTGTGGGCATATGTATGTTGTGGATTTATCGCGTTTGGTACGTTCTGTGTTTGGAAATGTTGACATAGTAAGCTTACGAGCCAGAATGAGAAGGAAAAGAAAATCAGCCGTGAAGTTTAACGCGATTAGACGTATTTTACCGTCGTTAACCGTTGTTTGTGTTCGTGTATTGTTAGCAACAAACTTTTATTGGTCTCGAGAAATCCGGCGACCTATCACCGTCTGCGACCCAGTGCAAAGTAATGCACACGGCCCATGATGGGTAAACTTTTCTCGTGGTCTCTCTCTGTTCAGCCGTAGCAAGGACAATTGGACAGATATTATATAATAAAATGTAAAGAAATTGTGTGCCTTTGGAAACATTAGCGTTCCTCAGTAAGTTTCTAACTTTGTACAGCCGGCCCTTTTTGCTACTTTTAATATTCCAAATTCGAACGGTTAATTGAATTGGTCCTGATCCCTTGCTATGGTGTCAACAAAGAGGAATTGAGATTATAATAGACCTACGAGATGTTTAAATGTTTTATGTGCAAGGACACACTCGGAAAACAGTGTTGACAATTGTGCGGGCTGTGACTGCAACCTGCAACTCCACCCCATTGTTTTAATAACTATCTCCCTTGCATGTTGAAATGTGTAACATTTTCATTTGACAATATTTATTACAGTAGAACCTCGTTTATCCGTACCAGCTGGAACCGAAAGTAATCCAGGAATACGATGATGAAAATAAAGCATCACTACAAATTACTCATAATTCAAGCATATGAAACGCAAATTATTTTAAATATATTACACTATTTAAATGATTCTGAAGTTGTCTGGTAGTTTCTTTTGTGTCAACTTCTCATGGCGTTTTCGTACAGTACGATCGCGAAAATACAATGCTGCAAATAAATCTATTTGGCCAACTGCATTGCTGCTTCCACATGTGTTATCCATTCTTGCATTTATGCGTCATTCATGACGTATGGGTGGCAGGGTCTTTGTTGATGCCTTCGTGATTTGCAGATCTACAGCCACTTTCGACCTGTCTCCACGTCCTAGCAACAATCGTTATTCCTTTGCAATCAGGCATTCACATCATCAACACCTGTATCTGAACATCCAGAAAGGTTTGTAAATATCTCTAAACCAAAAAGCGCGGAAGAATAAGAGGCCACATTTTTAATATCACAGCTTTCCCACTATTTATTTCTCGACACTGTGATCCGATTCCGAAGCAGAAGAAAACTTATTAATTACGTATTTAATGCTGACATTTATTAGTCTGTATTAAGTGAGGATCCGAAATTATGAGGGTCGTATAAACGCGGTTCTACTGTATTTTGATTTACGTTGCTTTTGTGATGCTTCTACCTTATTTTTCTTTCAATTATCAGTATAATTTGGTGCTGTTCTTTCATTTTAGACCCTTCATTTATTTTCTCTTCAGGCCAAAGAGTCGTGTGTACACTATAATTGTATGTACATTTCATGTTATATAATATCATTATGTTTTGTAGCTAGGCCTTTTCTTTTAAGTGTTTAGAATGTACGTGATGCTAGATGTTTTTCCCATCACGTAACCTCATTGAACAGTGGAGTGGCATTTTAAGGCAAGTGATTGGTGTAGGTATAGCTATGAGAGAGACGGAGAGGGGGGCGAGTGAGCACGATGGGTGCCAGCTCGAGTTCACGACACAGTGCGGGGGGCGTGGAGCCCGAGGCGGAGGTGGGGATACTCGTGGGGGGGGCGGTGAACGCGTGCGGGAAGAGGGGAGGGTACCCCGGGCCGGAGGCGGGCGCACCGCGGTCGCGCTGCCCTCGAGCAACATGCGGCGCCGTGCGTGCGGTCAAGACCGGGACCGAGACATTAAATCGCCCTGCTATAACTGTCCCATTTATTGTAATATCTTAATGGGCAATAAATTAAACCCAGTGGCCGAGGAAACTTCACCCCACAACGCGGCCCGGGGCCGCCGCTGCTACCTCCGCCGCCGTAGCGCCGCCGCCGCGGCCAGCGCCGGAACGTATCGAGGCATGTGGGTGTGGCTGGATTCCTGCCGTAATTACGTTTTTTCTGCTTTGATGAACCGTGTGAACACGGGCCGGCTGACAAGGGTATCAGTTGTGTGGCAACAGTTTTTGTTGACTAAAAGGAATTAAAGTACGGTCATCGTAAGAAGAAAGTTTCAACTTGTATAAAAGCCGCTCTTGTATATTCATGTAAAAAATTGACAAGAGAGTCACTTAGGTTATTAAATTGAATTACAAGCCCCCGTGCAGCTCCCTGGGATACCTTAAACAGTTTAATCCCAGTCAAATTTGTGAGATGGAGGCCTGCCTGCATACGGCCGTAAATCACCTTCATGTGTACTGTGCTGTGTGCAGAGAGGATCCCGCGTACGGCTGTCAGCCTTTGAAGAAGAAGTCCTGGAGCTCACCCTTGCACCTCGCCCCGCCTCCGCTCCAGCATCAGCTCCAGCAAGACCCGTCCTCGTCCTCGTCCTCGCTCCCGCCCCGGCCCGCGCCGCCGTCGTCTTCCTCGTTCTCGCACACGTCTTCGGTCAATCGCGGGTTCGGGCACGGGGTTGAGCACGAGCGCGACTCCGGGACCGAGCCTGCGACGTCCGTGCGCGGCGGCCGCGGCCGCGGCCGCGGTCGCGGCGTCGGAGGCGGTGGCTGGGACCGGGGCCGGGGACGCGGCAGGGGCGGGGACCGGGGCCAGGGGCGCAGACATGGACGTGTGGGAGGAGACAGCGGCAGCTCTTTGGGCGGCGACAGACGCGCCAGGGGCTGGGCGGGCGGGCGCGAGCAGGGAGAGCGTGTCGGCCAGCAGAGAGGTCGGGGCTGGTCCCGCGGCTACCAACGCCATCACAGTTCGTCTCACTCGCAGGACCACGAGTAGCAGTGGAGCCCATTGATGCAGAGCTCTTTGAGAAATGGTCTCTGAGAGGTCTTCCCAGTTTGCTTCGCCTGCGCAACGCTCTTCTTTCCGCTCTCCCCCATCCCCTCGCCCCACTTCCGTGTCCGCCTCTGCCTCCGCTCTACTTCCTCTACGTATCAGCAGCACCTTCAGCACTTCCAACGGCGGCGCTGTCTCCTCTCCCCGCGCCCCCACTAACTCCCTCACCACTATCGCCGCCGCTGCTTCTGCCTCCGTCACTTGCGTGGATGTCTTCGCGCCGCCCACGCGCCCTCGCCGCCTCCGCTGCCGCCATCGCGTTGCAGCCTCTCGCTACCCCTGCACCCACGTCCCACCGGAACGAATGGGCTATTTTCTTGAAGTCTGCTCACGGGATTGTGGCCATTATAGGAGAAAGAATGAATGGAGTCGGCGGTCCGCCGCGCTCCGTCCGCCAAAATAATAGAAAAAGGCAGGGGGAAGTTCGAGTCCGCGGAAACAAAGTTTTATAAAGACGTCTCCGGAGACGGCGAACTTCCATAAAGTAGCGCAGAGGAAAACATATAACTCACTTATCAATGTAGCGCTCCTGTGTACGAGTCGTTATATTCTAAAACGAAGTTTAGTGCGCGGAGGAGGAGCTACAAATCACGCTGCTGTTTGGACCACCGGTGCTCTGCGGGGGTGGCGCGGTTCGTGCGGCGACAGGGCAGCGGCGACCGGACGCCACATTGAGCTCGGGGACTTCTTCCCTCTCCTTCTCCCCTAGCTCGTCCTCTCCGGTGTCCTTTACCTCTGACGTTCCCGCCCACCTCTGCCCAACCTATGGGGCGCCGCCCGTGGCCGCCGCTCGCCGTGCAAAAGTTTCTAGGTAAATTCGGGGCGGGCGCAGCTCCCGAGACAAGCAGAATGGCCGCCGTAACCGTTGAGCGCCGAGGTGTTTTCCTGCATTCGCTCTAAGTTTACGGCGAA